TTCTTCCCTCATTATCCCAATTTTTTTCTCTCCTTATCCCAAATTTTTTCCCTCCTTATCCCAATTTTTTTCCCCATTATCCCAAGTTTTTTCCCCATTATCCCAGATTTTGTCCCTCCTTATCCCAATTTTTTTCCCTCATTATCCCAAATTTTTTCCCTCCTTATCCTGATTTTTGTCCCTCATTATTCCAAACTTTTTCCCTCATTATCCCAAATTTTTCCCCCATTATCCCAGATTTTTTTCTCTTGTTATCCCAATTTTTTTCCCTCTTTATCCCAATTTTTTTCCCTCCTTATCCCGATTTTTTTCCCTCATTATCCCAAACTTTTTCCCCATTATCCCAAATTTTTTCCTCATTATCCCAGATTTTTTCCCTCCTTATCCCAATTTTTTTCCCTCATTATTCCAATTTTTTCCCTCATGATCCCAATTTTTGTCCCTCATTATCCCAATTTTTTTCCCTCATTATCCCAAACTTTTCCCCTCATTATCCCAATTTTTTCCCCCATTATCCCAGATTTTTTTCTCTTGTTATCCCAAGTTTTTCCCTCATTATCCCAATTTTTTTTCCCTCATTATCCCAATTTTTTTTCCCTCATTATCCCAAATTTTGTCCCTCATTATCCCAAATTATTTCCCTCATTATCCCGAATTTTTTTCCTCATTATCCCAAATACTTTCCTCACTCTCCCAATTTTGTTTGGAATTAATTTTTTCTCCTTTTTTCCTTTCCTTTCCTCTTTCCCCCCCTTTTCCACTTCTCTTTTTTCCCTTTTATCCCTTTTTCCCTTTCCTCTTTTCCTCTTTTCCTTCAATTTCCCTCCCTTTTTTCCGACTTTTCCCCCCTTTCCTTCCCTTTTGTCCCTTTTTTCCCTCTTTTTTCCCATTTTTCCTCATTCCCTTTCTCTCTTTTTCCTCTTTTCCCTTTCCTTTTTCTCCTTTTCCTTCTCTTTTTTCCCTTTTTTCCCCTTTTTCTTTTCATTTCCTCCTTTCCCTTCCCTTTTCCCCCTTTTCCACTTCTTTTCCTCCCATCTTTTGCCCATTTTCTTCCCCTTTTTCTTTTTCCTCCTCCTTTTTTCTTCCCATTTTTCTCCCTTTTTCCTCTTTTTCCCCTCTCCTTTCCCATTCCTTTTCCTGCTTTTCCCTTTCCCATTCCCTTTTTCCCTTTTCCCCTTCTTTTCCTCCCATTTTTTCCCATTTTCTCCTTCCTTTTTCTTATTTTTCCCTCCTTTTCCCCCATCTTTTTCCCCTTCTCATTTCCCCTTTTTTCCTTTTTCCCTTTCTTTTCCTCTCATTTTTATTTCCTTTGTTCCTTTTCCCTTTTTTTCCCCTTTTCCCCCCTTTTTCTCCTTCCTTTTCCCTTTCCTTTTCCCCTTTTTTCCCTCTCCCCTTCTTTTTCCCATTTTTCTCCCTTTTCTCCCTTCCTTTTTCTTCTTTTTCCCCTTTTCCTCCTTTCCCCTTCCTTTTCCCCCCTTTTCCACTTCTTTTCCTCCCATTTTCCCCTTCCTTTTCCTTCTTTTTCCCCCTTTTTCCCTCCTTTTCTCCTCCTTTCCCTTTCCTTTTTCTTCTTTTTTCTTTTCCTTTTCTTCCCATTTTTCTCCCATTTTCCCCTTCCTTTTCCCTCTTTTTCCCCCTTTTTCCCTCCTTTTCTCCTCCTTTCCCTTTCCTTTTTCTTCTTTTTTCTTTTCCTTTTCTTCCCATTTTTCTCCCATTTTCCCCTTCCTTTTCCCTCTTTTTCCCCCTTTTTCCCTCCTTTTCTCCTCCTTTCCCTTTCCTTTTTCTTCTTTTTTCTTTTCCTTTTCTTCCCATTTTTCTCCCATTTTCCCCTTCCTTTTCCTTCTTTTTCCCCCTTTTTCCCTCCTTTTCTCCTCCTTTCCCTTTCCTTTTTCTTCTTTTTTTTTTATCTTTTCTTCCCACTTTCCTCCCTTTTTTCCCTTCCTTTTCCCTCTTTTTCCCCCTTTTTCCCTCCTTTTCTCCTCCTTTCCCTTTCCTTTTTCTTCTTTTTTCTTTTCCTTTTCTTCCCATTTTCCTCCCTTTTTCCCCTTCCTTTTCCTTCTTTTTCCCCCTTTTTCCCTCCTTTTCTCCTCCTTTCCCTTTCCTTCTTTTTTCTTTTCCTTTTCTTCCCACTTTCCTCCCTTTTTCCCCTTCCTTTTCCCTCTTTTTCCCCTCTCCTTTCCCATTCCTTTCCCCTCTTTCCTTCCCCCTCTTTTCCTCTTCCCTTCTCCTCCTTTTCCCTTTCCCATTCCCTTTTTCCCTTTCTTTTCCTCCCTTTTCTCCTTTCCTTTTTCTCCTTTTTCCCCTTTTCCTCCTTCCTTTTCCCCCATCCCTCTTTCTCCCCTTCCCTTTTCCCCATTTATTTTCCCCTCCTTTGTCTTCTTTTTCCCCCCTTTTCCCTTCCCTTTTCCTTCTTTTCCCTTTCCCTTTTTTCCCTTTTCCCCTTATTTTCCTCCCTTTTCCCCTCCTTTCCCGCCCCCTTTCCCCGCCCAATTTCCCATTATTCCCCATTTTCCCCTCCGGAATTCCATTTATTCCCATTTTTCCCGTTTTTCCAGCTGGATTCCTCCTCTCTCCGTGCTCACCTGGTTCTCCTGGGGAATCTCCCTGCCGATGGATTCCGGGAGCTGGAGGTTGTTTGTGCGGGGCTGCGTTTTGGAAAGGTGGAGCACTACGCCGTGCTCAGCAACCGGCACCGGGTAACGGCACCAGGAACACGGGGAAAAACCGGGAAAAACAACGGGAAAACACCAGGGAGGGTGGGGGATTTATAGGGAATTTTTATGGATTTTTTTGGGGATTTTTGGGGGATTTTTTCAGGATTTTTTTTTTATTTTTTTCAGGATTTTTTGGGATTTTTTTCGGGGTTTTTTCCGGGATTTTTTGGGATTTTTTGGGATTTTTTTCGGGGTTTTTTGTGGATTTTTTGGGATTTTTTTCGTGATTTTCAGGATTTTTTCAGGATTTTTTGGGGATTTTTTCAGGATTTTTTGGGATTTTGGGGGATTTTTTGCGGGATTTTTAAGGAATTATTGGGGGCTTTTTTCTGGATTTTTGGGGGGTTTTTTCAGGATTTTTTTTAATTTTTTTTCCGGATTTTTTGGGATTTTTTTCGTGATTTTTTTCGGGGTTTTTTCAGG